GAATCTGGTGGGGCAGCCCCTGGTGAGGCAGCAGGTGATGAAGGGAGTGAGGGAGTTCCTGGAGAACCGGAATCCGGTGAAACCCCTCGTGATGTCCTTCCATGGCTCGACTGGAACAGGCAAAACCTATGTGAGCTCCATGCTCATCCGCTACCTCTTCCAGGGTGGACTCCAGAGCCCCTATGTTCACCAGTTCTCTCCGATAGTGCACTTCCCCCATGCTGAGCGGATAGAGCAGTACAAGGTAAGGGACGCCTCTCAGCACAGTACTACTTGATTGGGGTTTTCTTTGGTTATGTCCATCTTGATCCTCAGTATGCACACATTCAGGCTGTTTCCTGAAGTGCAGTAGGAGTAAAAGCTCTTTGTTTTACTCTCTCAGACAGACATGGCTGAGCGAGTGGCTCCACACACTGGCTGAAGGATCCACTAGTAACTGTGATATACTCTGGCACTCAATTATCACTTTCGTCTTCCCCACAGCAGTCCTTGCCATGATCTCATGTTCTCATTCTTTAAATATTTACACAGCCTTTTGAATGTACAAACAAAAGTGCTTCGCTTAGATGAAAGGCACTAAAATTCTCCCGTTGTTTTCCAAACAGCTTGATGGCTGTGAAAACCTGCATATCACTAGACTTGTAATCCCCTCCTCATGCAGCAAGCAGCTCCTGAACAGCAGCTCTAGACTCTTAACCGCGCCACTCTGTCTCTTAAAGCTGAGAAAGGGAAGAAATCAAAATGTGAAGGTTAGCTGCCAAACCCTCAGCTGAGTGGGGAATTAGCACACCTGGACACTTGCTTTCTGGATGTTTGGGGAAGTCATTTGTTGTATTGTGTCCTCAGAAGAAATAGTCTCAGGAAGGTAAAACCCCTACTGGGTGAAGTGTTTCAGTGAAGCGTTATACATGCCCCCATGTATAGGCGACGTGAGTGGTTTTGTGTGGGTTGGCATCTACACTGAAGTAACTTCAGCCGTGGTAAAGAGCCAGAGCTCTTCTGGGTCAGCGCAGGCACGTGTTTTTGCACCAGGACAGGAGCTAGCAAAAAGCACTCAGTAGCTGGGAACTGTGTAGCTACAAGATGAAAGAGAACAACGTGGGGAACTGTAGGAGTCTGAATCCCCAGCTTTAGTTTGCTGCCTCCTTCTTTAAATTTGTAGTAAAAGATCTACAATGGGCTAATAAAGCCAGTAACCGCCACTGTGCGAAACCCAGAATAAAGGAGGCCTCCCCAGTGCTGGCTGTTCCTGCTCTGAGTGCTGTGCAGGGACAAGCTGCTTTCACCACCTTCAACTCCACTTGAGCTCAGGCCTCAGCTTTTGCTCTGGGCTAGCTTGAGCCTCCCTCGCTGCCCTCGGTATCTCACTGCCTTACAGCTTGGTGGGTATTTTTCCTAGGAAAGCCTGAAGCGCTGGATCCAAGGGAACTTGACAAACTGTGGACGGTCAGCCTTTCTCTTTGACGAGATGGACAAGATGCACCCAGGCCTGATCGACGTGATCATCCCGTTCCTGGGACCCTCGTGGGTTGTGTACGGGACCAACTACCGCAAAGCGATCTTCATCTTCGTAAGGTAAGAGATGCCCCTCTGTGGCATCTCAGGGCCTTCCAGCACACTGCCTCTTGTTTGGGCAGAAGTCATCCCTACTTCAGAGCACACACTTGTTTTGCTTTTCCTTCTCCAAACTTTGACCCTCTACAAATACCAAGAGACGCTATTTCATTGTGACTAGACAAACCTGGAGAGTCTGAAAAAGCTCTCCTGTCCTGTTATTTGGCTGCCTTTATAGGAGTCTTCTTAGGCCAGGCAGCTGGGAGATCCTGGCTTGCACCCATGCAGGCTGGAGGGTGCCAGATGCCACCTCTGTCCTGCAACACCATTTTCCTGGACACACACTGAATAAGCATCTCATTCTTGTGCAGCAACGCAGGAGGGGAGCAGATCAACGAAATGACGCTGAATCTCTGGCGTGCCCGCAAGGACCGGGAGGAGATCAGCCTGCAGGACCTGGAGCCGGCCATCTCCAAAGCAGTGTTTGAAAACCCTCAGAGTGAGTCCGTGGTGCAGAGCCCTTCCCGCAGGGTCAGAGCCCGGCAGAGGGAGCCAGGCCCATTCCAGGCAGCCACCAACACCGCCTGCCACCTCCCAGGCAGCCAGAAAGGGACAAGGGTTTTCTGAGGGAAGGGAACTGCGATGCTCTCGAGGTTTCCTGGCGAAGGGAAGGAATAGTTCAGCCTTCCAAACCAGCAGACCTGTTGCCATGTTTAGCAAAGTTCTTTGCAGACAAGGTACATTCACAGTTGGGCGATGGGAAACAGCGCAGCATGCTCACTGGAAAGGCACCGAGACATACCAATCCCTGCTGCCTGCCTGCTTCTCCTTGCTTTGCCCTTGTACAGGGAGAAGAGTTTAAATTCTGACTAGTCAAACTAAATCCCCCCATTTCTGGAGAACAAGTCTATTGGGAGGAAGGGGGTTGATAACTGATGGGTTCAACTCTCCTTGTACAAAACTGGAGCAGATCTGTCTTCAGCTGAGTATTTTGGCTTTGCACAAAGCAGCTTTTTGAACTCCAGGGACTGCAGAAACTCTCTGAAGGTAAAACCTGGCTCTTCCTTTGCTTTTGCAGGTGGATTCTGGAAATCCGGGATCATTAACGAACATCTCATTGATTTTGTTGTGCCCTTCCTCCCACTGAAGCACCACCACGTAAAGCAGTGCGTCGTCAGCGAACTTGTCCAGCAAGGCCTCGAAGTACGTCCGGGTGTTGTCCAGGAGGTGGCTGACAGCATCCCCTACTTCCCAGAAGAAGAGAAAATATTCTCATCAACAGGCTGCAAAACAGTGGCCTCTCGGATCAGTTTTTTCTTCTAGTCGCTAGCGAGGGCCTTGCTCAGATCCATTGGGGATGTATACAGAGCTGTAAAGCAGCAGAGCCCAGCACTGGCAGGATGAGCAGTGGGAGCTGCGTGTTCCCTCTCGGCAGCACAAGCGCTCTCCCGCCGAACTCGTTTTTTTTACTCGTCTCTCCCTCCCCAAGGAGGCCACAGCAGGATGCGGCTGTGGGACCAACTGCAAGTGATGTGATTTAAAGCACTTTACTGATTTACCCTTGGCCAGGTGAGGGTGGATACGACCAAAAGACTTCTCGCTTGTTTTACTGGCTACAAAAAATTTCAGTCCTACCTCCGGGGGAGCCCATGGTGCCACTAATGGTTTTGAAAATTCCTTTTATTCAGTGATGATTTCTACAGCAGGCTGAGAATTGGTGCTATGAGCTACTGAGCCTCTTGTACATCCTTCTGCTGGTCAGACCTTGCAGGCTTTGGCGGGGCCAGCGTCCATTCAGGTTCTGGGGAGTGTCACTTACAACCGGGGACTGGGCGACAACTTAGAGAAGATTAGTGCTCCACACTGCCAAGCATGGGGTGCACAGCATCAGTGGCCTTTGCCCAGGTTTTAATGTCCTGTGTGCAGTCAGTTATGGGAGAACGGGTCAAAGGAACCAGAATAATTCACTCTCTAGAAACAAACTGCCCGAGCGATGGGTGCAGGGATGCCTCGCAAAGCTCCCGATGCTCCGCTCGGGCCCTATGCTGAAATGAGCTGCCAGCACTTGGGACCATTCCAGCTCCAGGGCCAGAGCTTTGGGGACAGCGATTTTATACACGACTCAAATGCTGTCTGGGAGCTGGCCCACAGACAGACCCAAAAATTCTGCCTCTTCCAAAAATGTTATGCATTTCTAATTTTAAAGTAAATCTTTTATGAAATAAACGGTTGGGGAACAGTCTTTTACTTGGATTCCTGACTGCAGCTAGTACAGAAGGACTTGGAAGATCTGCAGTTGCATGGGAACAGCTGCCTGATGCGATGGGACTTTGGGGATTTAGCGGCACAGAGCTGATGCTCTCCAGTTAGGTAACTGGAAACAAGACAGCAGCCTTTCCCCGGGGAGGAGGCAAAACGGCAGTAGCTGGGCCAGATGTCCTCCACAGAGGAGCCACTGTAGCTCCAGGAGGCCGCTGGGTCTTTCTGCCCCAGCAGCACTTTCCCCCCACTGCACAGCAAATCTCTGGGTCCAAAGGCCACGTTCACAGGGCTGGTGCCAGCGCAGCAGGAGGGGGGAGCCACGTCACCTCCTTCCCAGGGAGAGTCGCTTTGCAAAGCCTGCCCGCTGGCCCCGCGCGCAGGGAGCTGAGGGCCGAGGCGAGGTGCCGGGTGAGCACAGTGGCAGACCAGCCGTTCCTGCAGCAGCTATCGCTGCCGCTCCGCGTGCTGGCTGGGTGCGAGATCCAAGCCTGCAGGCCCTGCGGCCGCACCCCGGGCTTGCTCACGTGAGTCGCTGTCCCTTGCACAGCTCCTACTCCCGTGTGCAGCCCTGCGCCCTCAGGAACCGCTTCCTTCTGATCATTCTCTAGTGCCATCAGCAGCCTGGGGACAAGTGCCAGCGCAAAGGCAATGCTACAGGCCTGCAGCAACCCCATAAAGCGATCCTTTATCAGGGAGGGCTGAGGAGAAGTGAGACGCCTGCTTGGAACAAGGCTCCCAGGCCAAGTGTAGACATCCAGCAACCCGCCATCACCTTTTAGGAGCAGAAAGGGGCAAAACCCACCTTTGTCAGCACGAGTACTTCAGCAGTGAGCTCCGAAACATCCACTGCGCTTCAGAGCAAATGAAACTTTAGCACCCGGGATTTGAGCAACTCCCCTTCAGAGCAGGCAGCACTAGTGGGCTAACACCCAAGACAAACTACCCCCCAGCATGTACCTATTGCTGCTGTCACACCAGGCAACACCAGCCGAAACGGTGAGTTCTGGGGGGCTCTGAAGGATTTTCTCCAAGGTTTCTTGGGCAAGGCATCCAGTCTTGCTCCTCAGGACAGCACGGACAGTCTTTCTTGGAAAGAGGTAGCATATGAGGGAAAGGATCTGCAGCGGCGACAAGGTGAGACCTGTATCTCCTCCATGGAAAAACTCATCCCCACAGTGAGCTCTGAGCACTGAGTCACGGGGTTTCCACTGCCACAGCCAAACACCCACCTCGTGCCACCAGCAAAGGCCCCACCAGCCCCACCTGGGGACCTGCCCCACCAGGGAGCCTGGGTTTCACCTCAAACAAAACGCAGATCAATCGAGCCATGCCGCTGCCCCGAGTGGTGCCACGCTGGGTGACGGTCATGTGGAGACACGTTCCCCTTAGCGCAGGCAGACACAGGAAAGCTTCTGCCCTGAATTACGGTCGAAGAAACAGGAAAATGAAAATAAAAAGGAAAGAGACCTGCCCAGTGACTGTGGCACAAGGCTGCTGTAAGAGCCAGGCTATAGCCCTGGCTGCTTGGCTTGGACCCTGGCAGGACCCCTGACCCCAGTCCCTGATCCTTGATCAGCTGCTGGCCCCCAATACAGAACTTAGGGCTTGCCTCAAACCGCGTGAGGGGTAGGCACAGAGACTGCAGGTGAGAACGTTGCCCATGGCCGGAGGAGGGCATCGGGGAACCGCACAGGGCTATACCTCATCGTCTGTGGGGTCGAGCCACAGACTTAGGGCGACGTGCTCCCTCGCGCTCTTCACCCTCCTCAGGCACAAGCGGGCCCTGGCCCGGCACAGGTAGTACAGCGGTTTCGGGGGGTTGAGCTTCCACCTGCCGGTACGGCCTGCGAGGGGATGGGAGCAAGCACACTCAGCAACCTGCCTCGCCACTGGCCCTGGAGCAGACGGCACCAGCCCATCCTCTCACCTTGCCATCAAGTCGTGCCGTCCCGGCTCATACAGTGCCGCTGCAACCCGTCTCTGCACAACGTGGTCCCCCAGGCTCAGCTGCAGTGCCTGCTGGTAATCTGCTAGCGCATAGGCCAGCTCCCCCAGGTGAAGGAAGCGGTCTGCAGCGAGGCAGCGTCGGCGTCTCGGTTAAATGAGGACGGCTGGGGGGGCGGCGGCGCCCCGCGC